GCACCGCCGTCCAGTCAATGCCAACTCGTAGCAATCCCAAAGGACAGGGTGGAACTGCCCTGTGAATTGCGGACACTGTCACTCTGCACAGGAGTAAAAGCCCCGCCTTCCTTCCTCCCTCTTAAAGGAAGCCCCCAATTCCCTTCCCCAGCCCCCACTTCTCCTGGTAATGTATTGCGGGCCGTCCCGTGGATTCTGACCCCTAGCAACTCCCGTAGGACGGAGGAGAGCTACTCTGCACGGGTTCCCAGGCTGCGTCTCGCTGGGGCTTCTCTTCCCAGGAGCTGCTGGTGGGATTGAACCGCAGACATTTTGGTTTGCAGCTCGGTGCTTAGCTGTTGTGCCACCAGGGTGCCTTTCTCCTTGGGGGGGTGTCACACTTTGTGGGGCTCACCTGGTCCTAGAATCACCCGCACGGGTGGGTGGTCTTTACTCCCCCTTTGCCCACTCCACTGCCAGGGCCTGCCCTGTTAGCCCCCACCTGTCTGTCGCCAAGCAAGTCGCCATCTCCCAGCATGCTTGGGGCGGGCCTAGTCGGTGGCTGCCAGGAACCCTGGCACTCACTGTGACAGCCCGACAGGGCCAGGCCAGCCCAGTCCCTTCCTAACAGCCTTACCAGTGTGAGCTTGTTGCTGCTCCCATTTTACAGGTGAGAAAACCGAGTCCCAGAAAGAGTGAGACTCACTCCCGGCCGCACTTATAAAGAATGCCCTCACACACTTCTTCAGGAAACCGCTCTGTGGACTCCGACTCACAGCGGCCCTATAGGGCCCAGCAGCGGCTTTCCAGGGCAGTGAACCTTTACAGAAGCCTCATCTTTCTCCCTTAGAGCAGAAGCGTGGGCTGGAACCGCCGACCTTGAGGTTAGCAGCCCAACACAGAACCTGCTACATGTGACAGGGCTCCTTCCTCAGGAAGCAGTCAATGCATTCTCCGTCCAGGCGATCAAGGGCATGAGAATCACAGCCCTCTGCCAGCACCCACAGGACCCACCTGACATGGAAATCAACAAGACCCTCCCCTTCTCGCCCCACCCAAACCACCCTGGCCTCCCCTCCGAGGTCTCCCTCGGGCTGGGCCACTGGCATCCGCCTGGTTTGGTTTTCGCACTGTAACTGGCAGGGGCCCTCCTCGGTATTGCAGGAGACAATGAGGTGGCTGGGTCGCTTTGCCCAGGCCCCAAAGGGGGGAGGCCTGGAGCGGTGGGTGCCTCATGGGGGTTCCACTTTGAAGGGCAGAGACCCACTTGGAATTCAGGCCTGCTGTGAGACCCTGCAGAGTCGGATCGGCCTCTCTGAGCCTCTGTCCCTCATCTTTAAACTGGAGGGTTGGGCCTCACTGGAGTAGCACCTTCCCTATATCCAGGGAAGACGTGGGAGCCAGCATGGGCTCCAAGCCACGGGTTAGCGGTCATCTTCAGCCGGTTACTCTGTCTCCATTTCTCCACCAGGGGGCGAAGCACCTCTGCCAGTCTCTAAGGAGGACCCACCCTGTGGAATCTGACTCACAGCGAGCTGCAGGACAGAGGCCACCTGACCCATGGCGGCGAGTGCTTAATCATGCCGCCAGGGTTCTTGCTGTGTGAGCCGAAAGCAAACCAAACGCAGCCATTGAGTCAACTCATATCTACCCTATGGGATGGGGTAGAACTGCCCCTGTGAGTTTCAGAGATTGTAACTTTTTATGGGAGTGGAAAGCCCCGACTTCCTCCCACAGAATGGCTGATGGCTTCGAACTGCTGACCTTGTGGTTAGCAGCCCACTGCAGCACCTCTTGCTCTGGGAGGAACAGAGGATGTCAATAAGCCGCGAGCTGCTGAGAACGATTCCCAGGCCTGGACACTTCGAGGCAGGAGGCCTGCTGGGTTCAGATACTTGCTTGAGACCCGTCACCCCTTTCTGCCTTCCAGTCTCTCCTTGTGGGAGGATGCCTCCGCCATGCCCGCCCCACCCTTGCATGTGGGAAGCGATGGCTTTCCCCTCCCCTCCCCCGCTAGTTTCGAGGCTCACAGACAGACAGGGCCTTTGCCCCAGATGGGCCAGACCCAGCCACTCAGTCCTACTGGATCTCGAGATGGTTTGGAAGATGAGATTTGGGACTTTGGAATGGAGGCTGTGGTAACGGAAGATTCTAGAGGACGGTGGGATGAGGTGGTGGTGTTCTTTGCGTGGGACAGGCAGGAGTGTTGGGAGGGCTGCGGGGTGGCCCGTAGTGGCTTAGAGGTGGTCTCCACCGCAAACAGCGCCCAAGCCATGGTATTTTCCCTGGCCTGGTGTGCGTGTGAAAGTTGGACGTTGAATAAGAAAGACCTAAGCAGAATCGGTGCTTTTGAAGTCTGTGCTGGCGAGAAATATTCAGAGAGCCAGAGT